AGTAAGACTTCGCCACACATTCCTAAAAATGGAATAAATAGCTCAAAATTACGACACTGACTACCTTAAATCTTATCTTTCTGGCATGGTAGGATCTGCAGGAATACTGGTTCCACTAAGTACAGCTCGTCAGATAATTGGGATATGTAGGCTGGACCACCACGTCACCGTAACGCTTAGGGTTCCTGATAATGTGTAGGGTGTATAAAAATTCAATTATGTCTACTGAATTAAAGTTTTGACTGATTCCACAACTGTCTGGTTTCAAAGAATTGTTTCATGATTTATCAAAATAAAAAGCAGCTGTGTCTAAAGTAGACAAAGAGCACAAACTGAAACCTACAACAGATAAGTTGCTATTTAAACAACCTCTGCAAATGACATGTTCGTAGGTTAAAACAATGTCAATGTTCACAAACCAAAACCATGCACACGAAAATGGATTATGACTTCTTGACAGTACCTCATATCGATAATGCAAATGACTCACCTCAGAATATCGAATAGTTGTAATACTGAAATATACGTAGTAACAACATACAATTAGTTAGTCACATATAATATTTGAGGTAGCAAAATACTGCTAGTTAAACTGAACTGTTGACTTGAGGTTTCACAGATATCCTTTCCATGTAAGGAAATTAATATCAGTTACTTCAATAAATCATGACAGCAACCAAGTTGATGTCATCATTTTCAGTATACACGGGCATACAACTGATGCTCTTAAAGTATCTTACAATGATAGTACTCATCATAATTCGAGCTGGTATGATTGATAGCCAGTAGAAAATTAGTTAGGCTGCAGAAATACTAAACTTGAACACCTGGCCAAGGTTAAGGTAAGTTGGCCAGTTATTCATGCATAAACAGACTCGAGACAATTGCGTCTTGCTAATTTTTAGATAATTTGAAGAGACAAATTCGAGAAGAATTATTGGAATGAATTCGGCAGCACGGTAGGATGTAAGATATTCAGATCGTTTTTCGGAAATACTTAACTAATGCTTTAAAAACTAGTGTCACTGAAATAACCTATCATGGGCGACAACATATTGCAGTAACTAAACAAAGGCAAGTGCAGCTACTCTTTGATACACAGAAGGTATATTGAAAGTATCACTAACTGGTACAGGGAACTTCCAAAATTAGTTTTAAATCTACAGACGACTGCGAGCAGTGTTGGACGAAACCCCCACAAAAATTCCTCTCCTACTCTTTAGCATTTCATTTTCCGATTTCAATAAACCTCCTTACATGGACACCGTCCACTTTGTCCGGAAGTAGATTATGGAATACCGACTGTGCAATCCCAAGAGAATGTGCTTACAACATAGAGGGATCGACATCTGTGACATGAGAAATAATGTTATAAGTGGAGTCAGGAAGTCTGCTTACACTAATAATCGGCGTTCAGAACCTAAGTAAACTCAATATTATGATTGGACACTCGTCAGTAACTAGTGTAATGTCTCTAGTCCTATCTTCGGTGCAGACTGAATTCTATAAGTCAAGCTTGCAATGTGGCAACCATGCTAGGTGGCTAGCCATCATGGTGCACTGTGGATTGTTAATTAGATGTTTGGAGGCAATCGACAGGAAGCCTTGAACCTAGTCACCTACTAGTGTCCAATCAGTATGTCCAATACAATCCAACAGGAGGTTAATCCCGAGCCTGATTAGCACAGTGGTGACATGTCTGACTGCAGCACTGGGTGATGCGGTTTCGAATCTCAGAATGGACATGAGCTACTTCGAAGTTGCAGATACGCCTTACTGATGAGTGCCAAATAAGACGAAACCTAGGTCCAAGGCCTCCTGTCGATTGCCTCCAACCAACTAATACAAACTTCAGATTAGCCTAATTTCTAGGTGTGTTCATCTTTCCTCCTCGTGCCACCCTCCATGTGGGGAGAGATTCCTTCACTGTTATTTTGCAGCAAATGGAAGCCACCCGTTCAGCCGATGCACGAAAATACTGAATGACTAATTGCCAGCTGAATTTGTAGGACTGCCCTCCAAGTATTTGTTGTTCCCTTCAGGTCTATCTAGTCATGTTTCTGGACACTGTTTCTCGATTCTAGACTTGATTTTGGAGCTCATTCACATGACTATCCTCAACAAATCCATCAACGGCAACGATGTCAGATGACAGTATACGTTCCTCATATGCCTCTTCTGTTAAGTAATAAGCAAGCGCTTCTGTCGATCCCAATTTACTTTAATGAAATCCGAGTAGTTTAACTAAGGCAGTCACCCTGTTCGACCTTACCAGTGACTCAAATTACTCACTTATTTAATTCCGTTTCACCACATGTAACTCTAACTGGTTATCGAAATTCATGCACCTGGGTAGCCTCTATATTTCAAATTTTCCATGGAAACAGTGGCTGTAATAGCATATTGCACAATATGAAAAGTGGTAGGTCCGTGGGTTAACACAATAAATTTCCCAAGATCATAACTGAAATGTCTAACTCCATAAACTAAAGGTACGGTAGTTACGTTTTCAATGTAACTCCCTTTTAACCAATCTGGTGAAAAAAACAATCAGTCCTGGCTGCTGGCATAATGCATGCCTAGCTCATCCTGTATGACTCATCACCTTTATTTCTCATTGGTCATATTGTTCTAGTTTGAAAATAAACACAAGGTCTTATTGTCGATGGATGAAAATGCTTAAGAAACAGCGATGCAACCCTGAGATATGGACCAATGAGAATGCACGTAAGGTGATAAGAGAATTAAAAGACGAATGAACTAGTTTGAGAAAAATATAAATAGGCAAGAGTATACTTGGAGCTTTGTACGCAGTCATCTACGGTAGGATGCCACCATAGGTTTTTTTGGCAAGGCTGCTAAGAAAGCCTCGAAGGCTGAGTTGCCTTAGGTTGACAAGAAGAAGAAGAGGAGGAGGAAGGAAAGATATTCTATGTAAATCTATAAGGCGCTCCGCCAAGTTCATCCCGATACTGGCATCTCGTCGAAAGCAATGTCAATCATGAACTCATTTGTGAATGATATCTTCGAGCGTCTTGCTACCGAGCCTAGCCGACTCTCACATTGCAACAAGAAGTCAACAATTTCGAGTCGTGATGTTCAGAAAGCTGTTCGTTTGTTGCTGCTTGGTGAACTTGCTAAGCACTCTGTGTCAGAGGGTACTAAGGCAGTGACTATGTATAGTGGTTCAAAGTAGATGTTGTGATGGGTGAAGTTTGAAAGTAGAGTATACTTCCACGTTCCTTTTAGAGCCACCATATAGTGATGTTCATAGTTATGTTAATACTGTTGTCTTTGTCTTTTTTGAGTGGGTTTTGTACAGCCGTTAGTCCAGTGAGTGTGTACAATATATTAGGGCATACACACTAACTGGTGTTGTTATTGTGGTCAGCTAATCTCGCACTGCAATCTGTTCGCGATAGAGACTAAATTTCGTATGATGAGTGTATAGAGCGTAGGCTGTGGTAGTAATTCCTGTTAGGCATAGGCTTGTAGAAATAGAATTGGTAGGTCTGCTGCATCAGAGTGACCTGAGATAATATGGGGATATCCGTTACTGGGATGAGCTGGGCGAGCGTTATCATAAAGTCGAATGTTCTTTTTGTAACTGCTAAGACCATATTGTATTGATGCTGGCAAGTCTACTTTTTGTCTTCAAAACTGGAATCTTAATACCATGTACTTTCAATTATTTTTCCGTACATCTACATTCACTCCTAAAAAATAATACCGGGTGCATTCAGTTTTTTGAAAACATAATGGCCATCGTTGATAATAGTGTTCAACTATCTCTAAGGTGACTGCTGTTATTCTGCAATTATGCGAGATAGGCACGATACGCGTCGAACGACCAATACCCTGGCTTCACAGGAACAGGTGGACTGATATATGCAGATAGAAGTGGTCAAGTGCGAGATCTTGACTTTCAGACTTCTGCAGACTGGAGAACAGTACATTTAGTGTTGTTACGAAAAGTGTTTTCCTCAAAGGATGTCGCTGATTAAGTTTCGTTTGAAATTGTGGTTTATGTAAATTTTCACTTCCGGGTACAAATAATGTTTCGCTTCTCCGAACATTCTGTTTGATCTTCTCTGCCAATGAATCTCAGTGTGCATCTATTTTAAGGTTTCGTTCAGAAGGTCTGACTCTTCTACTAGAGCGTCAGGGCCACCGATGCGTTAGATGAAAGTGGTAAGTGATTTAATTAAATCCCCTTTTTGTTCAACGGACACCCAGCTGTAGAAAATTGTCAATTGACAGTTCAACAAGGTACTGGTAGTATTAAAGGTCACCCACACTATGCCACCTCTTACTTAATGTGATTGTCTAATTACCGAATGGATCTGTACTCTACCTAACTTTTAAGTACTGACAACAAGACTCAAATAAAAAGGCTCAGTTAATTAATCAGTAATGTACTGTGATGGGCAATATATTTGAATAAAATAAGAAGTTGAGATTATTCAGAGAAAAGGGTTTAGAACTTATCTAGTTGGTGTGGCTGAATTATAGACTCAAAGAGTGCACATGTTAACAGGAAAAGGAAAGAGTGCGAAGATTGGCGTTCGAGCGAGTCTGTATGTGTAACTGTTAAAACGAAAACTTAAATCACTGGTGGGTGCACTGCAGTTGAATTTGAATTTTCTATGGTTCGGCTTTCTTTACATTCTGTCAGCTGTTCTCGGTAGTTCCTCACCAAGAAAGTGTATTTCTTAATGACTTTCTATTTCCTGAGTGCATTTTATTGCTAGATGGGAGTTGTTAAAGTCCTGTAACAACTGACTGAACTTATAAATGTCGACAAGATACCTTGTATACAGTTGATGTATATATATATATATATATCAGTATTTGACTTTAATACACCGTTCTCGATGCTACTCATGAAACAGGGAGGTTGGATTGCAGTAAATGTGTGTAAATGTTGTCATTTTAAGCTAATTATATATTGAGAGTTGATCTCTGCATTCAGTTTCGACATGTTTTGGTATCAATCATAGCCTGGAATCTTGGAACGTCTTAAAGGTGCTTTTAATCGGGTGTTCAATTCAATTTTTGGGCACGTGAAACCTCAGACATTTTATCACGTCGATGAGATTTTTCATCATCCTAAATATGAACCTGGTAAGTGTTTATTTATCTGCATGTTTGATGATATTCATATTTTAGAATGAAAAATAATCACTACGAGGTGCATGACATGTTCAATATTATTGTAAACATTGATGAAATCCCACGGTTCACTTCGTTCTGAAAGGATTTTCGCTTGAGAACCACCGAAAATCCATGTGGTGGTGGATGGTTTTCTGTGGCTTGTCAGCGACACTTCATTCGTACGCACCTAGGGCTACGTTATTTTCATGTTACCATTCAGTCTTATAGCACATGGATCTTTACTTATGTCAGTTCATGTGAATTTGTTATTATGTCCAACTAAGTGAAGCCCTTTGGTTGTGAATTTCCATTTGAACTGCCGAAACTTCCTTTTGAGACTAGTTACCATTCGGTAGTGAACTGACATTCAAATGATGCCTGAATTTCGGAGGCTATAGTATATTTGCCACATGGTGACTATTAGCTTGGTGAATCTAGATATTAGTTACTGTGATGTTTGAAATCTGAGAGAACTGCTTATGAGTGGAGATTGCATTTTCGGGCTTCTTAATGTTCTGCAACTATGTAAATCTCACTATCACCACCACCATCTACAGCAGAGTCTTGTGAAGAGAGTAATTAACAGTCTTGAAATCACTTTGAACTGAGCCTTTGAAGTTATAAACTAAAATTTAATGTGTATTTTCTAGAACTGGCCTAGACCGTATAGATTACTATTATCTCTCAACCTTTTTTGAAATATTATCATAATCTAAAGTAATTTTGAGGGTGGTAACTAGCAGTGGAATCCAGGATGCGTATTTCTTTTTATTTGGGACTCGGTCCAATAAATCAACAGGAAAGTTCAAACTGACTTAAATTTTATGATAATTCGTGAAATATAACCGTCAATTCATGAGGAAAAACAATTTTTGTTCAGTGAAGAAATATCTCTTTTTAACCACTTCGTTTACAAGCTGTACAATCGTATTTATAATACGGAAAAAGGCAGTAAATGGCACTATAAATTGCTCAGTCAACATACATATGATAAGAATTAAGATTTAAAACAATTAGTTTCCTTCATTCTTTAGATAAAGCAATAAGACGTAATTTGTCTGAATCGTGTAATGTATTGCGCAACACATTTCGAACAATCTGATCACACATGGACTTTTCATGGGAATATATATGAAATTAATAAAGAGTTAAGAGGTGAGAAAATAGACTTGGGTCAAGTTAAGAGGATATATTGAAGGTCAAAATAACAATGAAGACCACTAAACCAAATAACAGGGGTAATAGTACATCTGCTATGGTATCGAAACAAAATTTACCAAGGAAGGTTGTGATACCGCAGCAGATGTACTATTACCCCTGTTATTTGGTTTAGTGGTCTTCATTGTTATTTTGACCTTCAATATATCCTCTTAACTTGACCCAAGTCTATTTTCTCACCACTTAACTCTTTATTAATTTCATATATATTCCTATGAAAAGTCCATGTGTGATCAGATTGTTCGAAATGTGTTGCTCAATACATTACACGATTCAGACAAATTACGTCTTATTGCTTTATCTAAAGAATAAAGATAATAAAAATGATGTATTAAGAGGGTACTGTATAACACTGTGAGACTCTATCAAAATAAAATTTACCCATAATGGAATTAAGAGGGTATAGTTGAGGTGGATAGACTAAAAAACTTTTAAAGATTGTTAAACAAGTAAATTAGCATTAAAATTTTAAGGGAGATCAAATGTCTAAAAAATTAAGAGTAAGATGATGACAACAAACAATGAAGACGGTGAAGATGAAGTGAAGTGGAATGATTTCTTGCGGTAAAACAGAAGAAAATAAAAGAACTTAACTATGAACAAGGCAAAGAAAAGGATTTAACAAAACGCTTTTGAACACATAATTTAGGTTTCTGTCCATGTATAGATAGAGCTTCGGCTGTGCGTTAGTGGAAAAAACGTAAGCTTTTGAAGTGGTTGGATTCGGTCCTGTAGATAACTTTAAAGGGTAAATCACGTGGGGTTGAATGACCTGACTCCAGAAAGTGTTCACAAATTGAAAACTTAATCTTCTTATGTTCACCTTTCATAAACCAAACGAGGTGGTGTTCAGCTAGGCGTTTATGGAAAATACGCTTACAACATCCAATGTAATCAGCTCCACACGAGCGCGTGAATAAGTATGTACTCATAAGGGTGGGCATAAGCGGTAGGTTATCATTTACGAATTGCCGAATCATATTTTGACTGGTGAATACTAAATGTAAGTCAGCTGCACAAAAAGAGCGTTTAATACATTTGGATAAACTACTTTTAATTGCATCAGTAATGGTGTCACCTTCGAAAGGCAAACTCATAAACAGTGTATTCTTTAACACTGTGATTTGGATGGGGACATTTTCTTTCTTGATGTTTCTGTCAATCAACATTCTGAGATATCCTCTGCTTGAGATAGTTGTGCGAAGATTTTCCAGCTCTGTCGACAGCATCTACAGAGATTTTCCCAGCTCCGGAGAACAGACAACGGATAAGATTTCTCTTACTGCCTAGAGGTACCCAAATAATGAAGTTACTGTTCTATCCTGTAATTGTTGGCTTTCGGTAAATCTACCTTTTCAACGTGCCCTCTCCTCTTTTATATAACGTCATATCTGAGACGTGAAATTTGATTATTCTCCGGTATATACACAATTGATCATAGGGAATAAAAAGACAGTTGCAGCGAAGAAAATTTTCTTTTCGACGAAGTCATCATCTAGGCTGTACATTCGTGTATTTATATCAAATGGATGGGAAAGTTCCAGAACAATTTCTGGTTAGGGGTTAAATTAATAAAAATTACAATTAGGAATTAGAATGCCATAATAAACAGGGGGATGGGTAAAACTCAAACAAAGTAGCATAATAACTAAGAAAATTGACATTGTGCAATTGGGGTTAGAAATGTAAAAATAACAAAATATACAGGATGTTTGGATAAGAAACTAGTGTGATGAATAATTGTTTATGCAATCAGGGATTAAATATGTAGAAATAATAAAATGACAAAATAAACAGGAAGTGTGGATATGAAAATATGGTAGGGTAGACAGGGATTAAGAAAACTTAAAATAACATGAATAAACAGGAAGTTTAGATAAGAAAGGCGATGGGATGGTCATTATTAAAAAATTTACCTGTTTACGATGGCCATGGCAGGGACAGGGGTTGGATGTATTTCTTTTGGATACAAAGGGTGGGTTTGAGTTTTTGGATAGCTAACGCCTCAGCTATGCCCAAATGTCTTGACTTCACTCCCTTTGATAGGTTTGATTGAATTTTGTATATTACTTTGAAGGACTTTTCGAAAGGCGCTGAGTGTCCTGAGTTGACCAGATGTTCTGTCACTGAACTGTATACACGTTTTTGCTCTCCTTTTACCAGCCAGGCTGGGTAGTGTTCACGAGCGCGTTTTCCAAGTTGGCGCATGGTACGGCCGATGTACTCAGCTCCACAAGAGCAAGTGAACTGGTATATGCATGTTGAGGTGGCCCAATGCGACAGCTTGTCTTTCGCGTTCTGGTTGAACAGTTTCTTGCAGGAAAATGTCAGTCGTAGGCTTGCGGCGAAGTATGTTTTCCTCAGTGACTTGGAGAGACGTTTTCGAAGGATTTCTGCTTCGATATCACCTTTGAATTCTAGATTAAGCAGGAGTATTTTCTTTGGGACGGATTGGACTTGTTCAGAAGTCTTCTTAGGTTTGAGATTCTTGTCTATGAACCTGGGCGGGAAACCGTTTTCCATCAGGGTTTTTCGGAGATTACGCAGTTCTTCTTCGATCACTTCCTCGCTGCATATCTTCCGAATCCTCGAGGAAAGAGCGTGTATCAGGTTCCTCTTTCTGCTTAGCGGTACGAAGCTTTGGAAGTTGATGAATTGTCCAGTCCATGTAGGCTTTTTGTATATGGACCTTTTCAAAGAGTCATTGTCATTTCTTGTCAGATGGACGTCCAGGAAGTGGAACATTCCGTCGGATTCGGTTTCAAGTGTAAAGTCGATGTTTGGGTGGGCGTTGTTGAAGCTTTGAAGTAGGTTTTCAAGGTCTAGCCCAATAGTAGATATGATCAATTCATCATATCACCTAATGCGAAGTGGCTTGTAAAAATTCTTCGAAGCTTCAACAACGCCCACCCAAACATCGACTTTACACTTGAAACCGAATCCGACGGAATGTTCCACTTCCTGGACGTCCATCTGACAAGAAATGACAATGACTCTTTGAAAAGGTCCATATACAAAAAGCCTACATGGACTGGACAATTCATCAACTTCCAAAGCTTCGTACCGCTAAGCAGAAAGAGGAACCTGATACACGCTCTTTCCTCGAGGATTCGGAAGATATGCAGCGAGGAAGTGATCGAAGAAGAACTGCGTAATCTCCGAAAAACCCTGATGGAAAACGGTTTCCCGCCCAGGTTCATAGACAAGAATCTCAAACCTAAGAAGACTTCTGAACAAGTCCAATCCGTCCCAAAGAAAATACTCCTGCTTAATCTAGAATTCAAAGGTGATATCGAAGCAGAAATCCTTCGCAAACGTCTCTCCAAGTCACTGAGGAAAACATACTTCGCCGCAAGCCTACGACTGACATTTTCCTGCAAGAAACTGTTCAACCAGAACGCGAAAGACAAGCTGTCGCATTGGGCCACCTCAACATGCATATACCAGTTCACTTGCTCTTGTGGAGCTGAGTACATCGGCCGTACCATGCGCCAACTTGGAAAACGCGCTCGTGAACACTACCCAGCCTGGCTGGTAAAAGGAGAGCAAAAACGTGTATACAGTTCAGTGACAGAACATCTGGTCAACTCAGGACACTCAGCGCCTTTCGAAAAGTCCTTCAAAGTAATATACAAAATTCAATCAAACCTATCAAAGGGAGTGAAGTCAAGACATTTGGGCATAGCTGAGGCGTTAGCTATCCAAAAACTCAAACCCACCCTTTGTATCCAAAAGAAATACATCCAACCCCTGTCCCTGCCATGGCCATCGTAAACAGGTAAATTTTTTAATAATGACCATCCCATCGCCTTTCTTATCTAAACTTCCTGTTTATTCATGTTATTTTAAGTTTTCTTAATCCCTGTCTACCCTACCATATTTTCATATCCACACTTCCTGTTTATTTTGTCATTTTATTATTTCTACATATTTAATCCCTGATTGCATAAACAATTATTCATCACACTAGTTTCTTATCCAAACATCCTGTATATTTTGTTATTTTTACATTTCTAACCCCAATTGCACAATGTCAATTTTCTTAGTTATTATGCTACTTTGTTTGAGTTTTACCCATCCCCCTGTTTATTATGGCATTCTAATTCCTAATTGTAATTTTTATTAATTTAACCCCTAACCAGAAATTGTTCTGGAACTTTTCCATCCATTTGATATAAATACACGAATGTACAGCCTAGATGATGACTTCGTCGAAAAGAAAATTTTCTTCGCTGCAACTGTCTTTTTATTCCCTATTCTCCGGTAGTGAAAAACATAGATGGGTGAGAACCATTAAATTTTCCGAGAAGCTTATTAGTTGAACATCTGTCATCGGAAATAATAAAGGTATCATCGATATATCAAGATTATTTCTTTCAATGGACTACTCTCTAAGCTCGCCAAGAAGACAACCGCTAGGAAAGGTCATAATGGAGACCCCGTGGCGACTCCAACCCTTGATGACATCGTTAAATCTAAACTGTAAATTACGCCTACATCTTAATAAAGGCTGTTGCAGATACTTAATTGGCACTCCAAATTATAATTATCTTCATTCTTATCATATGTATTTTGGCTGAGCGATTTCTAGTGTCACTTGATATCTTTGTCTGTATTATTATAATTTACAAACTACTTTATACTATATAAGTAATACGGTTTAACCGGGACAATTTTATAGATTACAATTTCGATATGCTTTATCCAACAGGAAATTTGGAGTACGATATTGCTCTTTTTAAGCTAAAAGAAACACCAGTATTGTGGAAAATTAATCATTTGGATTTGATAGAACTACCAGGAGACGATATTGGAGAGGAATGGCCCAAACCAAACCAGGTAACTGAAAGCTGAGATGAAACTTGATTCAGTATTTTACAATATATATATGTATATATACATATATATCGGCGGCCTGCTTAAAAGTTGGGCTACCGAAAACCTCTATCAGTATATTGCATTTAATTTTTCTTATTCAGTTTGTTTAAAGCTAGTAAAATATTACCTCTATAAGTATTTTCTTGCTCTGGTGATTATTCGAAACACTTACAACCTACTGATTACGAAGTTTCGACTAAACATGAGAAAAAGCATTATCCTGGATGGCAGCTTAGCCCAATACTTAAGATAATGGTTCCTGAGTTGTGCGTTTGGTTCAGAAAATGTACTCCTGAATTTTTTACGATTGGAATTCAACCAAATATCGTGCATTTATCAAGAGAGACAAAGAAGAGATATCTTATTGGATTGGTTCGCACTTCAGGTCAGTAAGAACTGTGTGATATGGTCTACAGTCAATTTATGCTATACTTGAAGATCTTGGATGAAGAGAAAATATCATGAGATAAAATTCCGCTGAAAATTCTGTACATTTTTCAGAATAAAGCTGTTATTATTATCATCATTATTACAAAAACAATTCTAAAAAAACATAACGAGTTAACTGATTAAATACTATCATTAATAAATACACTTGAATTTTCTTTTAACTTATAATCTGGTTGACAGACTAATTTTCTCTTATACCCGTGTACAGAAGTTATCTCATGGTTTAGTGTTTCAGTATCGTTTCTTAAGTTGTCTTAAATTCAGCAAAAGAAAGATGACCAAGTCGATGTTGGAAGCTATTCCAGCATAAGAAGCACACACCTTGTTGATAATAACACAAACTAAAAATAATTTTGTCTCTAAACGATAAGACGCAATCATCTTACCGATCTCCTCACCTTAGGCTATTAGTTTTCATTGATATGGAGTATGTGCAAAGTTTAGGAAACTCATGTACTTTAAGTCGTTATTCAGCACAAAGTGAGTTTCTGTCTAAGATATTTAAGTTACATCTGTATAGCTGCTGCATATAGCAAGCTAGTAGGATGCATAGATTTTATTCACATTCTCTGATAAATTAATAACACAATTTTCAAGGGATATGAACAAATTCATCTGTTAGCTGATTATGAATATTTACAACAAACTTTAATATTTTCATAAGAATGAGATTAAGTAGCTATTTAATTTAGTTCATAAATGTTAATTTTTATTTGAATATTTGCTGGATGTTAAAAATATTTAAAAAACCCATTATTCTTCCTTTTGGTGGTTCCTAGGGGAACGCGGAACTTCAAGCCTTTTTTGAAGTTCCAGTAGTGCTGGTGTTGTTTGTTTTTTGGGGTTGGATTAGCAAGAATGACTACCAGTCTCCCCTCTTTTCCCGGCCTTCTACCAGCTTTTGAACTAGATAAGGTTTAACGGTGCGTTGGCTGGGAGTCAGATCCGGATCTACAGAGTGGATTGCGAGCGTTCTACCACTGACGCACAAGAAGGATGCATTTAACTATCAGTCTGAGCTGATACAGTACAAGATTTTTGAAGTTTCTAGGCACAGGGAACCCATTTTTCTCTTTTTTTCTGGTTTGATGAATATGAGCTAATCATATTAGCTGATATTCTCTGTTCAACACGTGTTCTGTAGTTCCTACACTTTTGGAATTTCACAATAAACTGATATCGGTTAGTGGACCATTGGAAAACCTGGGAGTACTGGACAGCTGTCTCGTCAGCCTAGTTTGAGACTCTCCATCAGTACGCACCCACTGAGGTTTGCATCCAGTATCTTCAGGTTGCATGGCGAGGTCGTAGACCATTAAGCCACCGGGACCTGTTCCAGTGGTCCATGAACTCCAACTTCTGCCAATTCATATTGTGCGACCACTAGCGAATGTCATCGGCGAGTATTTGTTTTCACAGCTGACCTGCTGTACCCCACTGGTCACGACGTCCCATTAGAACCAAGCTAACTACTTACCCAAAATGGGCAAATCACTAGTGAGCATCAGACTGATATTCAAGTGTTAGTTTGCAGGGATTTGAATGGTTCCAGGACTTCTTCATGAACTGTTTTTGTCTGATTACCTGTTTCATTGTATCTTTATCGTCGAATCCAGACATTTTAACCTTCCGAAATTCATAAATTCCAGGTGGACATTTTTAGTACATCACCAAAAAATAAGGAATTTAAGAATTATTTCCTCTTTGTTATACACAGTCAAGTGGGATTATCGATTTCGCTGTCCAACTTCAAAAGTGATGATTTATATCAGTTTACTATAGTGATTCAATCTCACTTTGTGTGAACTTCTTTTTAATACTTTTCCTTTGACATTTTTATAAGTCCAGTTAAGTTATAAAAAAACGATATTTCCTAAAGATATTCAAATTTTGATTAATTTCAGTGAATACTTAATTACGAACCAACATTGAAGAAAATGGTGCACTGAACAACCGTTTCATCCTGGTTTGGGACTCTTCAAGAGTATATTCGCGAGCTCACTAGCAACCGAATCAAAGATGAGATTGTTTAGCACTGACAATGTATAACGAAGTGAAAAAAAGTTAGAATTCAAAACTCATCAGATTCCACCCCAGTAACTGAGCGGCCCAGCTTGAACCCGGAAGGTCTCGGGTTCATTTCATTCTGGATGTGAGTAAGTATTGCTGAAGACGCAACAACTCGGGTGAAACAGTTGTTCAGTTCTCCTTGCTCTTCAACAGTAAACTACTTTACAGAGTTATTTCATCCTGGGTCTGTAAAATAAGTTTCGCTCGATTGGGACTGAGCCCATCAGTTCAGAGAGCTGAATCAATAAAAACCACTTGAAGTTTGGCTAGTAACTTCAGTGAACTAGTAATAATTTAAATAAAATTTCGCAATCTGCAAATTAATTCACAACTTGCGATTTGAGGGGAAATTTGATTTGCCAGTGAAGTTAGTTTTTGTGAGTCTTTTAGATTAACACAGAATCGCCTAAATATTTCGAAATCTAATTGAGTGACGATCTTCTGCTTTCATTGAAAGCTAAAATAATAAGCAGCTGAAAAAAAAGTTTAGGAAGAAAGTACTGAGTATAAACAATTATGCCTCACTCGGTAGAAGTAGGTGAATTTATAATTGTAAAGTTTGTATTTCTACCCAACTTAAGTGCTCATATGAATCATGTTCCTCAGTAATGTGAATTTGTAAGTGATGTGTTTGTGTGTGTGTAATTTCATCACGCTTTAACCTAGGGTGACGGCGGGTTGCTCGAGAAATTGAACTACCCAGTTTCCCACAGGAAACAAAGCGACATATTTACTCAGTTGTACTTTGTTTGGACTAGCGATTTATGTTCTTGAAGAGCGATCTGTACTTATGTATACTTTTGAATGGCTTTCAGATTGGTTTGTTTTGAAAAGAAAAATACGTTGAAGATAGCAGCTATTTTGAGACAGAACCATGTTCCATTGAATGACATACTGCAGCTTACCGTTTCCTTTGAAGGATTAGATAAAACCAAGCTGAAGATTCTGTACTTCATGTTGACATGTTCAAGATAAAGCTATTATTATTAACGTCATCAGTTGAAGAACCACTGAAAATTGGAGAGTTTCAGGTGACCTGAATACTTTGGAATCAATTCCTAGTGAGATTCTAAATTAATATTGCTAAATAGGCCAAACTAAGGAAAAACATCTATCCGTTAAATTACATAGTTTGAAATAATCCTCTAACTGATGCAAATTTGTGACTCAATCTACCTTGAAATGTGAATTTTATTGACTGTCACCTGATATTTATATTTCATCTATATTTTTTAGAAGTGTATAGCTGTTGGTTGGGGATGTAGTTTTGTCGATGGACCGCCTACATTGAAAATTCAAGCCGTAGAACTTCCAGTATTACAACCACACACTTGCAAGTTAATCTACATGGCTTATATAAATTTAACAACAGAACATGAATTTTGTGCAGGTTATCATAATTTCGGGAAAGGTGTATGTCCGGTGAGTTGACGAATTCATTTCAAAATCCACTTGTCTAATTTGTGAAAATTTGCTGAGTCTCAGGTTATACTACAGTGATTAAAAGCTAGAAAAGCACTGTTGAAGAATCTAAGATATGAATGGAACAGTAGTCTAGTGTCCCTGTCCTTTATCTGAGATTTAATTCGACGCCTTTAGATATCTTGATTAGCTCTGGACGATTCAACCTCCAAGTTGTAATTCAGTGGTTTATGATTTCCAGCATCTCATGGACTGGATTACTGGTATTAGTTGTCGGAAAGTTCCAAAGTATAGTGAAGCAGTTATTCAATATTCCTCGGTTTCCATTGGTAAACTAAGATTTCAGTCTAACCTTTTTTCTTAGTCAAATTGCTTTACAAGACTAGTTTTATGCGTTTAGTAAATGTAATATCTCTAGAGTGCATTGGTGGTTCATTATTATACTGGAGACCTGAGTTCGACTATGCCAACGCACTCCCAAATCTCACCTAGTTTCCAAGCCGATAGTAATCCAGGAAAAGAGGGAAGATGGGGCATCAGGGTACTAACCACACTCCATAATAGCAATACCAACTCTATTGAAACTTTAAAAAGGCTTAAGGTCTCATGTTCCACTTGAGGTACAAGGAATGTAGAAGATTTCTTTAATTATCCTTACGATAAGTGTAGCACAATACACTTACAATCTAGCTAGCTATCGTCTACTATTGAAACTTCCATGAGTATTTATTGAAATTACACTTCTGTTATCTGGTTAGTCTGACTTTTTAGAGGTCTGAATTATGCAAATCACTCGGAGAATTAATGATTAATCAGTCAGTATTGAAAATACAAACAACTAAAAACATGTTCAGTTATGTGTATGACTCATCTAAATTCTGCCATAATGATAATAATTAGATGTGATTAGTCATTTGAAATTCACTCCTAGTGTGATGTTAACAATAGTGACTAAAATGTTACCACGATATTTCTCACAGTTGAAAGGCCATTCAAATATTACGTTTGTGATTTTTTTCAAGTTACAAGTGTGTCTACAATGTATTCAGCTTGATTAAGAGCAAATTATGTGACATAAAAACAAGGTGTATAGACAGCATAAGTTTGGTTAAAAAGAAAAGAAGAATGACTCGATGTGATGATAGTCGTGACGTGTTGCTTTGAGTGAACAAGACAGCTAACTGATGACAGTCAACTCAGTAAAGTACACAAGTTTGTTTTCAAGTGTTACTTTGTTGGGATTTGATTGGTTCCAAGTTTGATAACGGATCGGTATCAGTTAGACAACCACTGAAAACCAGGAAGCACTAGACAGGTGTTCGATCTCCAGTGGGAACATGGATGCACACTGCTGAGGAGTGGCAAGCAGAGACTGTACTTCATGGCTTTCAATGGTTTCCTAACCGATATCAATCCGTGATCAAACTTGAAACCAATATAATTATCCCACATGTTTGGCTATTTGATAAATGGAGCTGGGTTTCAACTGGTAACCTGCTGGTTAAAAGTTAGTCAAACCTAATTCTCAGGTTGATTTATGTAAATTTCAGGCATATTTCTCCATCTTTTACCAGTTCAGGTTCACTAATTTTAAAAATGGGTTATCTGTAGTTAAAGTTGGTTCGACATAGAAGTAATACTAAACTCAGTCTAAGGATATTCATTTTATTTAAATGCAACCATATAAATAAATTGTTGACCTGAGGTGGCCAGTTATGCTGCTTGAAAGGATTGGAATAAATCATTGGGCGAGATTGTTTGAATTCATCCCTCAGTTGAACACTAAATACGGAAATGCAAATTAATTTCTTGTACATTCTCATATGCAGAGTGAATAAACTGATAAAATAATAGGATGCAACCTCATGGTCAGTCTAGTCAGTACCATAAATTAGACTTAGATACATCGAAAGCAGGACAAGTGAGGTAGAAATAGCCATTCTTGATACTACCATAAGATGAAAGACAAATATTAAAAGAAAGAACATTTTGCAAAGATTCATCACGAAACGACTTCAGTTAAAAGACCATTTAAAACCAGGAAGTGCTGCATAGCTGCTTGTTCCTTGTTTATGAACCTTCAGCACTACGAATCCATGACTCCGACGCCTAGGACAGAAACAAAAGCCTTAAGGTTACAAGGCGAGCTAATTCACCATTCAACCACTTCGACGGAAACTAACGGCTCATAATCAGAATTGAAACCAGTCGGATCTCTGAAAACCAACACTTAAAAATGAATCTAATGTTGAAGATGAAATTCCAGTGGGGTCCCCCAGGTTGGGTGTAAGAAAAATTACTCACCACTAACACTGAATGACGGTTATGCTACTTATCACCAATTCGTCGAAGTTAGAACTGATGGGCCACTTTACCTCGTCCCAGTGACTGAGTGGTTAACAAGCTTCCTCTGGTAATTTGAAGGTTCCGCGTTAGATCTCTGGTGAGATGATTGGTGCACATTACAGAAGGGTACCAAACAAGTACGAAATAGTGCTGCCCAGTACTAATTAATTTTCGGTGGTTCTCTAACTGAAATCCCTTCGGAAACAATGTTGAAATCAGTCAAATCCCTGAAAATTCACTTTTTTGTATTATTCGTCTTTGAAGAGCTTAAGACCAGATTGATTATCGAGTGCTTGTTGTTTGTGTGGTTATGAGTTACAACAAATCGAATTGACTGACGACAATGTAAAATCTTTCTTTAGATTATAAGTTTTGCAGGGATATGGATGAACTCTAGTGTAGATCTTGTAATGAATCAACATCAGTTGGAGGATCATTGAACATCATGCGAGTACTGATGGTGATTCACGACGAAATTGACATTGGAATTAATCCATATCCCTACAAAACCCGAAGTCGAAATATCAATCTCTGGTTCATTGATGGTTACTGGATAGATATCCTGAAGTTGTAATGCGATCTCATGGTCACTGGAGTCCGCGATGTCAAGATGAAGTAGATGCAACAGAGCACAAAGGATCACAATTTTTATCAATATAGGTCAGAACGTTTACAAGTTATGATCACAGATAAGGGGTAGGAAAATGAGGTAAGAAAATAGGGTGGGTGAAAGTGTTGTTCAGTAAAATGAACCTTGGTTTTAAAGTTGGATTATCAAACCAGGTCGTCATTATTGAAAAATAATTTTTGAACAAATAAAACAGGTTCAAGCCTTTCTATGTCTAAGGCTTCAACGAATTTAAGTATATGACGCAAACTTGTTTCATTTATAGGTTGAAATGCACTGGTAAAATCAGCTTTACGTCCCGTCCCTATGACGTGCTTTGCGATCGATGAGGCTCAGCATTGGTTTACGGGATTAATTGAACCAGGTGATTTTATTTGTTCTTGTAGCCACTCCAGAATACGTTCTGTAGGCTTTACCTGCAGAGGTCGATGTACGTGTTACAACATATACATGTGAATTGGTAAACACAATGGGATGTAACACTATCGTTCGCATACTGTCAGGATTTACCAGGAAACATGATTCTCGAACTCTCTGTGACAATGAGTTTGGCTGCAAAGTGAGTCCTATCGGTACCGGTGGCTGGTCACTAGAGTGTAACTACTGTTATGCTTACCATCGCTAACCTATTGACAAAAAAGTTTACCGGATATTATTTACTAGTCATCTCTTCTTTCCTTTTTTATAAATAAATTTAGGGTGATAGTGGTGGACCGTTAGTCTGTGAAGATTCAAACGGTGAGTTGAAGTTAGCAGGTATCGTGTCAGCAACACATTCAAAATTGCCTGCTGATTATCCAGCCATTTTTACTCGGGTCTCTTATTTCACTCAATGGATTAATACTGTTATCAAAGAAAATTCACATAAGAAAAAATCAAATGGCTTCTTTTCATTTCTTAAATTATACAACCAAAATTGATGCTAGCGCTTAACTTTTCCAGTTGTGTATGAAGCATGTGTTTATTGTTATTATCTTACCTCTCTCTCTCCCTCACACACACACACACACACTCAATAACATATACATGTTGTACACCTCAAGTGAATGTTAGAATTTTTAGAATACAACTACTTTCAGTCGCTACTGGAACCCATAACTTCGCATCTTTGATTTATTATCAACAGAATTTGCTGATTCTTTTTGATAAAAAAGATTTTTGACACCCTTTCTGATTATTACGTCGCATGACCAGGTTGTTATTGGAGCTACAAGTCTTCCAACACTAATGATTTTTGAAGATAGTCTATTGACTGAATTGATTATTAATCTGAATTTCCAATGTTTCAGTTAGAACTCATTTTCCGTAGAAAAGATGTAGTTGTCTTAGATCAATGCAATTACTATGTGATAACTTGGTGTATGACAAAAATATAAAATACTAGGCCTGTTCACCATTGTGCGCCCCAATACACACACACACACAAACAAGTACATGCAGCACCCAATACATAAAAGCTGAATATCAACCCTGGATATCGCTGTCAGACAGTATCCATTCTATTGTTTACATTTTGTTTTACTTTCGAATATGTGTTTATCTAATCTGAAATTTGATGTAAATGTATTGAGAAGGAGAGAGATATTGCATTGTTTGTTGTATTATCAGGAGCTTTGTTACTGTAGCATTCACAGTTCATAAAAAAGCAATTTAATATTTAAGTTATGAAGTAAAGCCTTTCATCTTCAACAGTTTTTTTCTCAGACTAATCACCAATGACTTCAGTTAGAGGACCATTTCTTGTTTGAGAGTCTTCACCAGTATGCCCCCATTTTTCTGTCGGGGATAGAACTTAGGATCCCCATGTTCCAGAGCGAGCACGTAGATCATTCATGCACTGGGACAAAATCCAGTGGCCAGTGCTTCAGTTTCAACTTTTATCAATTCACCGTATACAGGGCCATCTCCAGACAATATCTTCATCGTGTATTTGTTCCCATATCCAACTTAGTTGAACCTACTGCACAAGACTTTCCAGTAGAACTTCAGTCAGCTTCATCCTCTAGTCAGTAGCTAGTGCGTACCAGACTAATTTTCAGTTTCAGGATTTCATTAGTTTTCAGTTATTTGTTTGCAGGGATTTAACCGATATCAAGGGTGGTCATGAAATGACTTCAGTTAAAGAACTTTTGAAATTCAATTAGAGGAAGTTATCTCTTTTTTAAATTTTATTTTGATTACAGCTTGATTCCACACCGTATTTTCAGTACAAGTATGGAATTTTCAGCATGGATATTGGTAGCCCAAATTTACAGGCCGACCATAGATATCAGGTGTGCGCCGGCAGGGGATCAAACCCCGGACCATGAGCATGGTCGGCGAGAGTCCTAACCACTGTGCCACCGACGCACCTGAACTGGGTGACATCATTTCAACCACAGGTGGTAATGAAAGGATGTCAAATGCAGCCAACTAGGATCGAGAAAGCCGGACAGGCATCTCTAATTAATGGCAATCTGCTTGAATCATTGGGCTACCTGAATTTCCATCCAACCTATGGCATCACAGTTTCTCTTATTGTTTTAACCATTCAATGATGTCCTTGGGTCGCGAAACACACTCACACACATTTCTGAATGGCTTTTAAAATACCGGTGGGCATTTCTCGGAGATGAAGGAAAAATGTCTTGAGGGATTAGTTTGCACTTCAAATCGAACAGTACTGGGTCACATGCTATTCTATAGATTGCTATTTTACTTGAAGATAATGGATGAAAAGAAAATATTATGTTAAAAATTACTTTGAGAATTCTACACATTGTGTAAACATTTTTTTTCCAGAATGAAGCTGTTATTATTATTAGTAGTAGTATGCAAGTGTGCACCACTCAGCACGAGGAGAAAGATTACAATTTTCAATACTAACGTCAAGTCAGTGCTCTTCTGTAGTTCACAGACTTGGTGTGTGTCACCAAAAGCATTTCTAACAGGCTACTGCAGACTTTCTTCAACACCTAACTTCTCTGGATAATGAGAATCAGATGGCCGGCCAGAAAGGATAAGCAACACGGAACTCAGGCAGACAGCAAAATAGCCAAGAACGTTTTGCTCAACAAATATGCAGAATGAAATGGGAATGGACTGGATATACGCTGAGACCTTCAAGTGACATCACACATCAGATAGCGGAGTGAACCAGAATGGTTAGTGGTAGGTTGGACGTCTGAAGGTAACATGGAGATCCTCTGAAGAAGAGATGATAGGTTTGGGCTGTCATGGATTTAGGTTACAAAAAAGAATATAGTACAATAGAGACATGCTACTGACGCCCTGTGCTCCACTCGAAACGAATAGTGATATCGAATATCTGTGTATTGCTTCGCTCAATAACCACATTTTAAGTCTGATCATAAAATTTCAATTATTACACTCACAAATAGTTTCACTGAAGTTATTACAGATTTCTCAGCTTGGAAACTGCTTTAGCAGGAATAGAGGGGGTGACAAACAATGAAGAGAAAATGGCGGTGGCAACAGCAGTGTCGATAACTAACACATTTTAACAGGAATTCAGATTTCTTTATATAACTGTTAATGAAACAACTAAGAAGCAAACAATCATTTGAAACGATGAGTTCAGGGTTAAAGTCCCAATGCGAACACTGTCCCTTACATGATATGCAGGTGTATTTAGCTGAAGAGTTCCAGGTAGGAAGAAACGCACATCCTAAATTCCAAAACCAGTCATCATAAACCAAAAGAAAGTCGAGACAATAAGTAGTAATCTGGAAAATCTAAATGAAGAATTGAAATAGATCAAGAAGAGGTACGATTATTGATTATCTTCCGAAATTTGTTAAAATGTTAATAATATCTGAGATGAAAGTAAATAATCTGACTAACAGTTGCAACAAGTAAAGAATAGACTTCAAAGTTTTTATAGTGTTATCATACATAAAGTGGAAAATAAAAACTCTACATAGGATTTATAACCAAACTTAGATTAGGGTATCATGTGTGCCGACAGAAATAGTTGGAGAAAACTCTCATATTACTGAGGCATCCTATGATCGTAAATGCGTAAACCAACTTAGACGGTCAAATAACATGTAGTGGTAGTGAAATCAAGTTGATACATGAAAATAATCAATCTCAGTCAGTTTGAATACCAAGAAATAAGAAATTACACCTAAGATAAATCGGTAAATCCTCGCATAAGATGAGATACTACAACGTATGCACCAACTCACAATTACATTACAAAGTAAGATAAGGGAAAGCCTTTTAAACTTGAATCGGTGAGTGATAAGAACGAACTAACGTTTAATCGGGCAGTTGGAAATTTTTAACTACTAATGAAGATGAATGAGTGATGAACTGTAAAAATTTTGCAAGTGATATGAACAGGACATTACGTTCAAGAGGATGCTAATAACCAATAGCTACTGGTGAAATAACTCAAAATCATTGTCAGTGGAGCAGATGCATTCACTATTTATGATCTCATATATCAGTTAAATCCTCATGCCTTTTCTCCACGTTACTATTCTTTCTCCCATATATTTCTGCTCATTGTAATTCTTTCGAATTGCTTTTTCTCTGTTTTGTGTGATATATGGTGTGTGGTAACTTGAACTGCTTCGCTTCTGTGTTGGACCTAAATCAGTCACGTTCAAAATTTTATTCGTTGAATTAAAAACCCAAATCATTATGTGTTATAATAAATAAAAACAAAGTAGAGCTGTACTCAATGGGTGTGTAAATCTTGTATTCATACCAACAGATCTTTCCGCTCAATTTAAAATAAGAGATTTGATTTAGTTATATTCTTTGTGCTGGATGGCTCAGTTGCGCAGTCTTCGTTATCCTTTTGGACGACATCTTCAGTTCTACACTTCACACGGAGCTACACGTCATCTCCCCCAATTAAACGATTAAAGTTGTTTTGATATTTTAAAATAAGTTGCGTGTTATGGTGAAAAACAATTTACAAATACCTACTTAAATTTCTTCTATTTTTAGACGCCTAAGTTCGTTTTCGATTTTCAGTAATGTACTTGTTTTCAAAATTTTACACATAAGCAAACCAGACTCCATTAAAGACTAAGTTATGATCGATGCACATCCTTAATTGTGGATGGATGTGTCACAACCACTAGTCTGTGTTTATCCCTAACTCCAATTTTACGGCAGGCAGAATCTCCTGCCTCATGTGGTTCGATTTCCAGCTGACTTACTCCTATACTTCACTTAAGTTGTAGTTAGCGCGGAAAAGAAGGAAGGTTGAAACGTGAGGTGTTGGCAGCCTCACTCCACAATAAAAATAACACCATTAATGAGACTTCATAGCTCCGGAGCTTGAACCCCTGTGTGTTCCACTCGGAACTCAAAGGAATGAAAGAAACCTTTACTGTGTGCCTACTTACTATCAAAGCAAAGAAATATATTCCTTTTCAATTAGTTCCTCATCATCGGCTCTTCACTAACATGTAGTTTTTTACATCAAAGTTTTACCAATCAAGTGGTTATTTCAGTTAATCAGTTTAAGGTATAGCGGGGTGATATTAAGAGGTCACAGGTCACCAGAACAATTAACTAATAGATGTTAGTATAAAGATATCTAAGTTTTAAAGGAGGGGTGAAAGTTAATTACGGAATTCAAGATAAGTTGATTCCGCAATTAACTTTCACCCCTCCTTTAAAACTTAGATATCTTTATACTAACATCTATTAGTTAATTGTTCTGGTGACCTGTGACCTCTTAATATCACCCCGCTATACCTTAAACTGATTAACTGAAATAACCACTTGATTGGTAAAACTTTGATGTAAAAAACTACATGTTAGTGAAGAGCCGATGATGAGGAACTAATTGAAAAGGGATATATTTCTTCGCTCAATTTGCTGTTCTTTCTAAATGCGTAAATGGGAATTTGAAAAAGAACAAAAAAGGTCTGTAGCTGTAGGAAACAGTATTCATAATCTTTTTCCAAAAGCAATAAAATTAAAGAAAAAAAGAGCATAAAAACTTAAATAAGAAAATGTTTGGTGAAAAACCCGGTCTGTTATCATTATTGTTCCACATCGGTTGGATCCAACATTCGATTTTCTTCATAGGCATACAGTCCACGATGCTTAAATACATTTGTACATAAACTAAGTACCAATTTAACATTCGATACGAGATAGGATGTAATTAGCTGAGAAAGCCTTGATTCACCTTGTTTTAAATTTTGTAAAAAATGACTACATGGAGCAGCTGAATTCAAATAATAACCAATATATTCCAATTGTTCAGCTGGATATAAACTAGCCATTGTTCTATCCGCTTGGGTATAATATGCCTGACCTGTAAGGTGAAATACTGTATGACTGCTAACCAATAAGTTATGCAATCGAATCGATAGATTATTCATTCCATACATACAGATTAATATAGATAGAGTAATGAAAACACAAAGGAACAGAAGCGTATTATACATTGCAAAGAATGGTCGAGCAGTAAACCGTGTAAAAGTCAAAAGGACAATTATTACACATAGTAAAATAAAGCCAAAAGAGAATTCAAATATTTTTTTGTCAGTTTTATGATGGAATGGAAATTTTAACACATTATCACGTGAATACAACTGAATCATACCAAGGGTTTGGTTATCTGTAATAGACTGATGCAATATCTCCCACAGAACGTCAAATAAATTATCTTCTGGAATCATATCCTCTTGTATAATTAAGATATAATCATTTGCTTGTGTTTTAGTACGCTTAACTATCTCCAACATGCATTTTGAAGTGAACTTAACAGTTTGACAACCAAGCGATAAATTTAAGTAAGATTGACCTTCATCTGTGGAAAGTGTATAAATTGAATTCTCACCTACAAGTCGAATAATTTCATTCAAACTTGGAATAGTTTTACTCTTATCAGCATTTCCTCCAGTACATACAACTATATTAATGAATTTAAACCGATAACCATAATTTGAAATATCCTGGAGTATTAGATGAACTAATGTGGCTACAGACTCAGTTAAGTAATACGTTTGATAGTCATCGATCTTGTGCTGAGGACGGCTGGATGTCAATATGCCTATTGTGATACCATATTTGTTGACTGTAAATGGAGAAGAGGGAAAATAATGTGAGAATGATGATTTGTAGATCAAGGGGAGTTTTCCTGAAACCTGCCAATCATAGATTAATGAGCGTAAATGAGCTAAACGTAGTTCTTCTTGATCTCGAATTACTGAGGCATGATAATTTGAGTTAGGAAATCGATAAGTATTAATCACCAGCAGAACAAAATAAATTAAAAAAGAAGAAAAGTTAACTATTAAAAGTAAGCGTAGAAATGCAAATGTTCGAAGATATCTCGTAAGTTTTAATTGAAACATAAAAGTTTACTATGCTATTTAATTGGATATTGTCGAGTTGAATAATGCAGAAATGGACTTGAAACTCCACTTGTCTTCTGGCTTTGCAGTCTCATTCGGTTTTTTTTAAAGTAAGTAGATCTGAAATTAGAAAGAAAATAGAAAAAGTATTTTGAAATGAGAATAAATTTCTGATGAGTGAGTGAGATACTGTGTCATTCAAAGTTTTCAGCTACTCATCAGCTGACACCATTTCACAATGAGAAAATCTTGCAGTTAATATACTTCTTTCATCCCTCCCCGTCGAAAACCACAGACAAGTGGTCAGTAGTTACTGGTGTTCTTACTATAACAGAATAACTTCTATCGATTTGATACTTCAAATTCACAGTACGCTTTTTATCAAAATATAAACATACTGGACTTAGAGGAATAATTGCTATCAAAGATAAACAAATGCAAAAGCCCTCTATCCAATTCAGCACACTCTATGATGCAAGTTGGATCTGATCCGATTAACAATACGACAAAGTGCTGTTATTTCTTGATTACATGTCCCCAGTGTTTTCAATTCTTATCCTAACGATGTATTGTAATTAGATTTCATGATAAGCGGTTTGTTTCACTTCAGAATAAGAATGTCGACTTATTTGACAAATTAAAATGAACAACAAGACCGGATATTGCAATAACAATCTAGGTATTCGAGTTTATGTATGCAGACTGTTTATATTCAAACAAACAATTGATAAAACAGATTTTTATATCAAATGACAGAGAATATAGATTAGTAGCGGTGAAGGAAGAAGAGAGAGGCAAAACAAACCAGGATATAAGGTTTATGATGATGATAATGAGCATAAATCTGTAAGGGAAACCGTACTAGTTAGTGTTAATATACTATACTATTGTAGCGGTAAATAATTCCCCAAAATTATTGACCACAGCAATCATCACTCACCATTGGATGCTGACCCTCAACTGTTTAAGTCGACTTGTTTAGGTGAAGACATCCGGTCAAGCATCCTCGCCATTTGGTACTCCGTCGTGTCACGTGCGTGCACGATCACTAGCCAGCTAAGCGTTTACTTCAACCCGCGATTTGGTCCCGAAATATATTACGTACTTTGGACGACAAAATCTGGTCTTTTGCTTTACCATTTGGTACTCGAAGAACGAACACTATAGAAGTTGTTGGTATAAGATCTTGCGTTAGTATAATCCGTACAATTCGCGAACGTCGATACCTTCAACCTCCAAACTATACTATATACTATAACGTTGATAAGTACTACTTAACAATGATTCTACGCATTCATTTAACGGCTCAATCTGTAACATCTTACCTACTCTTGCTTTCTGGATCAGGTCTTAATTGTTTCAATATTCACCGCTAGATGCGAATCCCAATGCAAACAGATATGCACGTATGATTAACATTGGGTAAAAAAAGCCCTCTTTAAGTCGGAAATAAGATGGATACCTGCTCAGTTCTTGATATAAATTGCTGATCAGGTGTCATAACTGGTAATACTAATAGACTACACTGACTTTTAAATTAAGAACTCCCAGTGAAACAAAGATTTCAGAGAAGAAAATTACATTTTAGATTATTTCGTTTACTCATTTGTAGAATCCAAACGAAGAAGATTTTATTTATATGTCTACAATTCAAAGACGATGTTATAAACGGAGATCCTATTTTAGAGTCTAACGAGAGCGATATAGAGTATATTCTCCTCTAGACAAATATTCCTATCCTTCAGTGACCGTACAGTGTTCACACCGAAATTGAAGGACAATTTATCAAATCTTAGCTCTTCTACATGCACACACTATTTTGACTGTTCTTGTGAATCACGTTATATAGTTTGTAGGAATAAGCAGGTTCATCTAGAGATTCAAGAATATTCATCTGTAAGGTTCGAAAAGGGTGAAATTAAATTCACGAAAAATTTAAGTCTGCCGTACTTCTTTGACGAAGGACACCAGGTAGACTGTAAGCTTATACAGGTTATAAGACTTTAAGGTTATACACCATAGTGACTGGTTGACTAAGTTTAAACTTAGAACACTGCACAGAAGCGCAACAGTTTAAGTTGCCACACACCATATATCACACAAAACAGAGAAAAAGCAATTCGAAAGAATTACAATGAGCAGAAATATATGGGAGAAAGAATAGTAACGTGGAGAAAAGGCATGAGGATTTAACTGATATATGAGATCATAAATAGTGAATGCATCTGCTCCACTGACAATGATTTTGAGTTATTTCATCAGTAGCCATTGGTTCTTCACACCCCGAGGATCCGAGCCAGGAATTTTGTTGTGTACTAGTATCTGACTTTAATCCAACTACGGCTTCACTTTCTCTGATGCGTCAGACGCTGTGTACGACAAAATATCGACGTTGTATCAAAAATGCATAAGTGAACACCTGTGAACTTGTATTACTGGCAAAATCGAACTTCTAAAGTACGTGAGCAAAACCAACATTACTTAACCACACAATAACACAAAAATCAGAGACCAACGTTCAATTACACAATGGTAAATATTCGTTAAGCATACATAAAATCAGTTTCTGGTAAAGTCTAATACAGGTGAATGAATTAGTTTTACTGACGTTTGGTTAGAGTTATTCGAGGGGCACAACAAACCTACACCTCCCTATGTGGCTCACTTCTACTAATACTATTAACCATATTGGTTTCAAATATCTATGAATAATATTTTATTGTAATTGTAAAGTCTGACGAGAAATTACAGAAAATGTGTATTTGCTGAAACTGTGTGCTATAATAATGAAAATGGGATTAATTAAATTATTCATGAACTGCTCTACCCTATTTTATACTTCATAGCGATATACTGAAGCGAAAGAGTATGACCTCAGTGAGCTTATTCCTAAGATTAGAAATATGTTCGTGCACTTCATAATTCAAAAAAATATACAAAACTGACTCTAAGAATAAGACCCTGTGAACGTTTGGTAAAGCAGAAAAGTTACACAGAAGTGAAAGTTACTGGGTGAATGAAATTTTGAACTCGTCTGAACATCATAATCAGTGGTTTCCCGTAAACTTGAAACTTTATTTAATCAATCAAGACATTGCCGATCATTTAAGGCGTCTCCACCTAAGAGATAATACTTTAGGTTGTGAAACAGAAGAAAAGAAATTAATTTTACAGAAGTAATTTCTCTGTGAAAAATTATTATAGGCTTTTATAACTTCAAAAATTCTGAAACTCAAACATATCTACTCTGCAGAGGTACGCCCTAATGGTATTGGAGAATTCTAAGAATGTCCTAAATAACTTTAGGCACCCGTTATAAGAAAAAGGCATTACTTAGTCACTAAGGTCCCAAATGGATTTTAGGCGTATATACTGAAAATTATGAAATAAGGCAGGTTACATAAACTGACGAGAAGCGTTGAAGATATAAGAAATCAGCAGATATGAAAAAAATCTAACAGAATAACTTTTGGAAATTTTAACCCTCAGGAGACTGATTAACCTTTGATTGAATTCACCGTATTGAGGGGAAGAACAAAACATTAAATGACTATCTTATTCCGTAGATAATTTTGAGTTTAAAACTTCTAGAACTTTCCTTAATCTACTCATTGTTCTTTCGAAACAAGGACATGTCAGAAGTTGTAAATCTAAGTGAATTTAGGAAACTAGATTACGTTCACCTAAGGGTGATCTTGTTTGAGCTGTCGTTTTTAGCAGCTGCTGTTATATACAGGCCCTAATTTACTTAGAACTAATCTGTAGGCATCCGAGTGCATTAAGGCAGAAGTTGATATCCGTTAGCTAAGACGTTAAGAAAGTCATGGAGTCAGTAAAGATTGAATAACTGTGTCAATTGTGAACAATATTTTTATAGTCACTCTGTGACGTTGTTTTTAGTGATCTTCTAACAGTCCCTCGGTGGTTAAATAGGCGTGCACTCTGTTGCTTTCTAGATCGACAAAACAGAAACTTTGGGTATGCTTAAAATAGCACAGAGGTTGTAGAAGCATATATATATATATATATATATATATATATGTATATATATATACATATATATATATAACGGTGATAAAATATTAACTGCTTATATATACATATAAGAAAACTCATCAGTTAATATTTTATCACCGTTATGGAATAACTGCAGAAAAGCTTCAGTAAAGTGACTAGATTAAAGAATTTACCACGCTTAACCCTTTAAATGTAGACGGATTATGGTGCATATAAGTAATGTTATTACACATCACCAATATACCCTTATATCTTAACAAAACACTCCTAACATCTACTCAGAAACAGTAGAAGAAAGGCTCTCCATGTAAAACTTATTTAGTGTTAGTCACCATCTTTAACCTTAAATATATTATAGCAGGATAACTCGACATTATTGCACTCAAAAAAAGGATAAAAAATGATACAATTATTGTAGATATATTTCGGTAATCAAAATTATGAACAGTATATCTTCTATAGTTTGGTTTGTAAGGGTTACTTCTGTTTTTAGAAAATGATCACGGATTGATATGGCACTAAATCACGAATTGGTAGAAGTTAGAATTCATGAGCCATTGAATCGGGTCCCAGTGGCTGAATGGCATACGAGCTTGCATTGTAACCGGAAGGTCCTGGGTTCGAATCCCAGTGGGTGCGTACTGCCGACGATTCCCAAACTAGGATGAAACAGCAGCTGTCCAGTACTCCCTGGTTTCCAATGGTTCTCTAACTGATATCAGTCCGTGATCAACTCGTAAAAACAGTATATCTGTGTGAAAATATCAGATTAATACTTCGAATGAAATCAGTATTTCCTGATTAACCAAAATATTTGAAGTGAAAACATCAAGTTTTAACCAATTCAAAGAGTATATGTAGTATCACCTATAACTATTTATTTTCAATTGTTGCAAATTTTTTTTCAACAAACTGTTGAAAAAAGGATTAAAATCCTTTTTTATTTGACATGTTCTAGGGCTTCTGCTAATAAAGATATCGAGATGACAATGTTATTACTGAGTAACGGTTGTTCAGGAGTGTTACTCTTTATCAGAAAGGCGAAATAAAGTTACCTAGACTGTAGGTGACATGTTTACTCGCACCTGAAAACATTGACGACA